TGTTAGGCAGTGCCTACCTTGTTGGGGGACAATGCTCCATGGGTGTCTCAAATTTCTCACATCTTGTGAGGAGTGAACTGGTTGTTCTGGGCTATCTTTGCAAGGATGTTTGTATAGCAAGCAGCTTTGGACAGTAGAGATCATGCCTTTCTCCAGAGCAGAGGGGCAAGCATGTTTACCACCCATCAAAAAGGACTCTGGTTCTCTTAGCTCAGGGCTCTTCTTCTGGAACTCAATGTACCTTGTGGGCAAGCGTCCATCGGGGACCATCCACATTGCCTATGTGGGGCTAAGGGACAAAAAGTGCTGACATAAGTATGCTGATGTGAGGCCTAGCATGCCCTAGCTGTGAGCAATAAAGCCCTCTGTCCTGTGTCTTCTGTCAGCATCCATGGAACTGTTACAGGTTTGGCTTTCACAAGCAGGTAAAATCTTAGCACCCTCATAGTTCTGGATCAACTTATATCCTCATTGAATTTCATATTCAAAATACCCTAAAATTAAAATACTTTTATCTTCGTTTTGTGGATTAGAACTGAAGCAGAGAAGTTAGCTCTTCCTAGGTCACACAGCTAGCGAGTGCTAGAGGGGAGATTTCTGTTCAACTCTGTCCAGTTCCAGAACCACATCTTTCCATAACATGTTGGCTTGACTGCAGATACGAAAGTGCCTGTAGTTCTATGTGTGGCCAACCCTTTGGCCCCTAAATCACCTCTGCTGCTATAATGATAAAAAAGCTCAAGCAAGGAGTGGAAAACAATTGAGCAGCATCTCCTCCAAAGGAACATAAACAAGATATCATCAGGAGTGGCTTCCACTGAAGAAGTTCTTCTCTGATATTTACATAACAGTTGTCTCTAAGCTCGACCTACTACCCTTTCTTCTGGTGAGCGGATGAGATCCATTTCCCCACAGGCAGGATGGGCTGAGTCATGTGAATTTCAGACAAATCAATGTGTAGCTGGAGTAATGGGCATGCTCCAGGATGACAGATGTCTCCAGCCCCTTGGCAGGGTCCAAAACTTGATAAGCCTCTAGAAGCCCTCTTGTATATTCCACAGTGCATTTTCATCTGTGCCCTGTTTAATCTGATCATTTCCTTATTCTTATGATAGTGACCTGTTTCTCCAGTGGCTCCATATGGTCTGTGGCACAAAGCCCCATTTCTTAGCCTGGGGCCCAAGATCCTCTACGGTCCAGCCCTAATCTACAGTGTGGCCAAACCAAGCTTCCCTTCCTGTCTGAAGCCATCCTAATCCATTCCTTAGCTTTGGTGGAACTGGCCTCTCCTTCCATGGTGTCCACAGTTATCAGTATTCCTTCCCTCACAGCATCTGTAACACTTTAGGGCTATATACATTGACATGTTCATCTCCACCAAGCCATGAGCCCTCAAGGCCAGGCCTGCTATATCTAGCTATGCCACCCATATTTGTGGATTGTACCTGTGCACACACACACACACACACACTCTCTCTCTTAGTTTGAAATTTCATCATTAAATACTCTTATTTGGGGGTTAAACACTTTTTAAAAGCACACATCAGCCCAGGAGTAGTACAGATGTTTCACAGATGTTTTGACAGGATGTAACTTACCTGATCATTTTCCTCTTTGCTAAGAATGACCTGGGTGGCAAGATTCGTGGGTGCTAGCACATGAATGAGGTGTGCTCGACCTGAAAACGCTTGCTATCTTTATCTTGCTAATCATTCTGCAGAGGGCCAACAGTTCAGGATTCCACTTGGTCACTGACTCCCACCACTGAGAGCTGCCTCTATCCCAGGCCAGCCCTCGCCAGGGATGGGGCTGTTGGTGTAAGAGCCCAGGTCATTGCTGGCAGAGGCCTGGCCTGGGTGCTCTGACCCTGGCACTGGGTCATTTCAGGGTCCCTAAGTCCTGGTGCCACCTGTTCCCATGAAGAGCTCTCGCTGATTCACCTCAGCCTGCAGAAGGAAGGAGCTTCCTCTCTCCAGCCTGCTGGTCAGACCGGCCTGGGTTCAAATGCTCCCGTGGCCATTAGAAGCTGTGTGACCTCCAGCCATCACTCCAAGCTTTCTGAGCCTCAGTTGCCACAGGGCTGACGGGTGGATGAGGCCACTGGCCTGCAGACTGTGGTGAGGATAAGAGGAGCACATGCAAAGCAGCTGGCATTGCACACAGTGTGCTAGCTCCCCTTCCCTCTTCTTCCAGCCCCCCTCTCCACCGCCTACCTTTCCTCTCCACCTCCCTCCTTCCTCCTTAACAGCTTTTGGAGATGTGGTGTGTGCATATTTGTGCACATTTGCCCCCATCCACATTTGTGGTAGACATGCTATGTGGTGACTCTATGCATCGTTCATTGGGGGAGGGATCAAATATAAAGAAAGTGTGCTCTCTTACCAGATGGAGCACCATTTATTTGCATACCAGTGTGTACTAGGTGCCTGTGGGAATGTGTGCATGTGTGTGCTCACTGATGTGATGCTCTTGCCTCTGCAGTTAGCCTGTGACAGCTCCCTCCTTCTGGGGGCATCTGGATAGTCCACCTTGAATGAGCCAACCTGGCAGCATCCATGTCACCCCTGTGTCTCATTCCGGCTGGGCCTGAGGGTTGGGAGTAGGCCGTGCTTCAGTACAGTTTTCGAGGACATTGGGTGGGGGGCACGGAGGGCAAGGACCAGGGGAAGGAGGGGCCAGTTCTCAGAGAACAGCCAGTGCAGGTGGCTCTGGGGCTTCTGCGGAGGGAGTGGGGAGGAGCCATCAGAATCTTCTTCCAGTACAGACACCTGTGGCGGCATCAGGGGGCCAAGGTACCCTGGGTTCATCCTTCCCTGAAGACTTTTTAAAGTAAGACATGCCTATGTGTGGGTTCTGGGTGCCTCCTCTATGCCCACTGGGCAGTGATCTGTGCTCACAATCCTTGAAGATGAGGCCACATGCCCACATTTTCTCAAAACCCCGAAGTGATGTCACAACAGGAAGGGATGTTGGTAGTTGTTTAGTTCAGTGTTTCCCAAATGTGTTCCAGGGACTCTTGGCCTACAAGTTTGTAAAAGGTGTTCTGGGAAGAAATGGGGTCTCTGGAAAAATACATTTGAGGAATGCTGCACTCATCCTCCTACCCCCAATACTCCAAGAGTCACTGCACACATTGGAACACTAAGGATGGCTGGAAGCCTCGCACAGCTTTAACTTTGCTTAACATGTCATTTACACATTTATTTGCACAAGGAACACCCTTTTTGTTTGGGCTGTGTATCACCATCTTGCTGGGCTGGTATTTTATAGATCACAGTTTGGGACATACGGATGTAACTAAACCCTTGATTTTATAGATGAGAAGTGGTGGGCCAGCAAACTCGGGTTACTCAGGGGAAGGTCTCACCTTTTGACTATCATCAGCTTCTTTTCTTCTATTTCTTCCCCCACACCCATGACAACCCTATAGCTTCCAGCTATTTTGCTTGGTGGCCATTCCTGGCAGAACTTGGCTCCTGCTATTCCCCTAGGGAGAATGATGGGGAACCTTTTTGCTGACTCCCAGGTGTAGATGGTGCAGCCTCAAGAAACCTGAGTTACAAGGAGTTCCTTGCAGCCTGGGCTGCAGTCTTAAACCTGGAAATGCTGGTCTCTGAGTGACTGTGGAGCTGATGGGAGTCTTACAAAGACCCTTACAAAAGAGGATGGTTACTAAGTTTATCTTCTCTCCCTGTTATTAATTTTAGTATATGTGCTGTCGAAGCGAGCACTCCCTGTTATTAATTTTAAATGACAGTTATTTCTCTTCAGGAAATCTTAAGAAGTGGTGCAATGAGGAACTTTCATTAACCAAGACATATGTACTGCATATCTAGCACCAATTATTGACACTGGAAGACTGCCCTGAGCACCTGACACATTTGTTCCTGCCATCAACCCTAAGACTTGGTACCGTATGGGTTCAGAATGAGTCCCTCAGGATGGGCCACTTTGGCATGCAGATTATTTTGAGCTGGAAACAATCAAGGCCCAAAAGGCTCAGGAAGAAACTCTGACCTTCCCCTTAACCACCTAAAAGAATTGAGACAGAGGACCTACTCTAAGAAGGGAACTATCACCATAGGTAACTACATTATAATATAACCAGAGGAGGTGGACAGGGAGGAGGTTAGCAAAGTTGGTGTTACAATTTCTCTCTGTGTCCCATTGTTCCTGAGGGGCCCAGCAAACATTTGTTTACCAAGCATTTACTCTTTTTCACATTCCTGTGAATGGACCTTCCTTCCCTTCAAAGTCCCAGACCTCTATCCTCTTCTCCTTAGTCAGGATGACCTATATACCTCACTTTGCCTGACTGGTTTTTGGAATCCCGTGTTTATGTGGATTCCCAGGACTTACGAAATTAAGTTTGATTTTTCCAATCTGTTTCATGTCAACTTGATTCTTAGACCAGCTGGAAGGATCTTGAAGAGTAGAAGAAAATGTTTCCTCCTCAACACTACCATGGAATCATGTCTACTTGAGGGATGGGAACACTGAAGCCAGAAAGGTCAAGCAAGTTGCCCAAGGTCCCAGGACCAGGAAAGGGGGACCTAGGGCCCAAACCCAGAGGGATGGCACTCTGCAGTCTGTGCTCTAGCCACTGTTATTATGGGAAGGATCAGTTCACTCATAGTTATTTAACAGGTATAATTTTTCTAATATTGTGCATTAAAAAAAAATCAATGCTTCAGCCAGTGCCTAGGCAGCTGGGACAGCCTATTATTTCTAGAGGAACATTCCACTCTTACATTTGTTTCATGAAGCTGGTGCCTGCACAGGGAAAAAAAGAAATCTGGTCACTGGTCCCTCCTTCCCTCAGGGTTCCAGGAGTCTGCACTGTCTATGCTGAGGACAGGCCAATGGGGCTGGAAGTGGATGGTCCCAGCCCCACGCATGCAGACTGTAGTGGAGAACACAAAGTCATACCAGTGAAACGCAAGGCCTGGGTGGTGGTTGTCTTTCCCCAGACAATTACAGTAATGCTGTTTGACTCTGAATGCTTGGTTACATTTCAAATTTATTTCCAATCATTTAGAGCTGGATCAATGGGAGACAAAAGTGCCTTTTAGCTCTGGCACCTGCTGTTCCCCCCAAATGTCAAGGACTGACATTTGATGCCATTATCCCCAGTCAGCTTACAGATGACTCACTTCCTTGCTTCCCCAGCCCTCAGGCCCACCCACCCAGCAAGGACTTTCACACCATGCTGATGACAAACTGCACTGTCCAGGAGAACCCAGACTTTCTTCCTCTGGCAGAGCAAAGGCAGGCCTCCTGGGTGGCCACTGCATCCCCTGGTGCCTGGGACAGGCCTCTCACGGCTCAGTCCCTCCTTCTTCCCTCTCTCTCCCCAGGCTGGCACCTAGTGTTCCCAGGCCAGGTGTGTATCTTGGGATGAGGTGGGTGCTCTCATGGTCTGCCTGGTGGTGCAGATAGCAGGTTGGGGCTGTGGGATGTATCTTCTCTTATGGAGTTGAAGGAGGCATTGGGGGAGGTGAGGCCTGGTGCCCCTCAGATAAAGTACTCCTTTCTGCTGTTGTCACCTGTGTCCTGGAGGGAGGGGTCATCCTGCAGGGCTGCGTCTGCGCTTTCAGCAAACTCTGTACCCTTGGCCTCATTGGTGTGGTATGTGCCCTTGTGCCGGTACATGTAGCGTAGCATGACGATGAGGAGGCAGATCAGGACGATGGCTATAGCGGCGATCACGCCTGCAGGAGGGAAGCAATGCATGGCTCAGTCTGGGGCAGGCATCTGGGCCTGAGGGAGGGGGTCAGGACGCACAGGGCTTGTGTCCGGACAGACACTCTGCTATAACAAACACCAACCCCAGACAGGCTTGCTTATCCTGCCTAGTGTGTGCTCACCCTTATCTGTACCCCTCTGAGTTACCTCTCTCTCCCCTCCTATTCCCTATCCCTCCACTCAGAGTGGTGCCGACTGAGGCTGGAATAGGATCCCAGAACTGACCCTCACTCAGGGGCACTCAATCTACTGAGGAAGACAGAACTCTGTGCATGACTTGCAGAATGAACTACATGGGTTTACCTAAAACTGAGGGGTTCATGGGCCTCAGGACTTTTAGTTTTAAAACCAGAACAATCCCAACTGAGAAGTTTCCTGGAGCACAAATCTTGGTGGTAAAACCAGGAAAGTGCCCAGAAGGCTGGGCCCTGGTGGCTGCCCCCTGTGCACTACTGGGGGAACAAGACAGGGCCATGGGAAGCCCTTGAGACAGGTTGGGTGGAGTGTGGTTCACTGCTCATCACCCGACCTTAGCTCCAGCATGCTCTCCAGAGGTGAGGGCTGCATGAGTCTGGCAGGGGAGCAGGGATCAGCCAAGCAAATGACTGAAGAGGAAGAGGATTCTGGAGGATGCCATGCAAAGGCATGGGGTGTGGTCAGAAGTCAGTCCTTCATTTCTGTCTGGACTCATGAGTAGTTGGGAGAAGAGGCTTGAAGTCTGAGCAATAGAACCCAGGTCTCTCAGACTCTGGGAGTGATGGCAGGTTCTCTCTCCCCTGGGCATTTCCTCTGACCCTCCTGGCTTGGAGGCCCAGGACAGCTCACCTGCAATGATGGCGATGTTCGCCCCCAACGAGGGGAAAAATGGGCCAGGGTCCAGTTCTGTGAACAGAAGAGAAGAGCCTTAGTGGGGAGAGAAAGTCTTCCCATACTTAGCAGCACCCTGGCCGTGCCTGTACCCCCAGCTCACAGGCGCACAGCTCTTGAATGGGCCGAGTGGACAGGAGGCAGGGTGTGCCTGGACAGGCTTCTGGCTCTGCCTGGCCACTGGCAGGTCTGCGGAGAACGTGTGAACCAGAGTTGAGGCAGCCCCAGTTCTGACGTCTCTGCAACCATGCGAGTGGGATGAGGGATGGGCTCCTGCACTGGGCAGACACTGGGTAGACAGGCTCAGTGGTGGCCATGAAAGTGGGCAGTGATATGCCTGGTGCCAGCACCACCTGCCTTTGGACCTCAGCTTTTCTCACCATAATGGTAAAAACAGACCATCTGTGAAGTGTCCCCACATGTGGAGGGTCTGTACATGCCAGGTGTTGGTTTAGTTGCCTTTGACCCATCACATCATGTGGTCTTTGATACCCCGTTCCATGAGGTGTGTGGTATCACTAGCTCATTTCACAGGTGCGACACTGAGTGTCAGAGAGTGACATGCCCAGGGTCACACAGCTCGCTCAATGGTGGTCTGGACTTAGCTCAGACTCTCACCTCTGGGGTGCACTTTCTCTTTTCTCTCTTGAAGATGCCCCTCCCAGAGGGCTCCTGTCTGGAGGCTCCTCCCCGAGTCCCTCTGGGGTCTCTGATCAGCTCTTCTGCGGGAAGGGCCGCCCTCGGGCGCTACGGATTTACTGAGTGCATTTCTCCAAAGTGCTATGGTCTGGCCACAGGGCTAGCATCACAAGGACAGCAGGAACCTGCACATCACCTCCAGCGGCTGCACAGAGTGCCTCCTCTCTCCTCTGGGAGACGAGTGAGAGGAAGAATTTATTAGACCATAGAAATATCAGTGTTAACATGGAAATCCCATGTTCCCATTACAACGGCTACGCACATTAAAACAGAGAAGGCTACTTCATTATAGGCCTTTCTGCTCAGATAATCACTTTAATTATGGTGAGATGAGGTCATTCTCCCCAGTGACAGCTTCCAGATGCCTTTTTCTGATAAGAAACCAGTGGTGGTGCCAGGAAGGAAAGTGTGGGGAGCCAAGCAAAGGCTCCAGGCTGGAGACAGAGGAGGAGAAGAACCAGCCTGGAGCCTGGAGGTGGGGAAGAGGTTAAAAGAAGTCCTCAGGCCTGCAAAGAGACTGAGTGGGCACACAGCAGGAGTCAGGGTAGGGGCAGGAGGGAAGGCAGTAGGAGCAGTGGGGTCAGCTTCTAAGTGCTTCACCGCAGTGAGAACGGAGGCTGGCAGGGCAGGAAGTTCAAGTGGCATCGGACTCCAGGGTGGACAAGAGCTACCTAGAATTTAGCACCTTCTCCACAGTAGGTACTCGATAAACATTTACTGAATAATACTGCATAAATAAATGCATGTATGTGTGTATACACACCTACATGAGTGGATTCAGACACTGGCATTGTAGACCTTCCTCAATCATGAAGCACCGAGTGCTTCAGTAAGAATGAAGAGTGGCCCCTTCCTTAAGTCCATGTGGATGGTCACAGAAGTTCAAATATCCCAGATTGCCACCTGGAATATTCCAGGTGAAGACCAGCATTTCTTATGCCAGTTAGTCCAACCCAGTCAGGGTTAGAAGGGACTGCTGTTACCTTTTCTTTTAAAAACGATTCACAATTGTGTACCATGTGCCTGGTACTGTCCTCAGCATTTACCAGGTTTTAACTCATGTAGCCCCCAGGGCGGTCCCATTCGGAAGCAGTGATTATTATTCCCATCGTACAGATTTGGAAGCTGAGTCCCAGAAAAGTGTTACTGTTTTCCCTGGATCATATAGCTAAAAGAGAGTCAGGAGTCCACCAGCTCAGGCCGAGGCCACCCAGAGTCAGTGTGCTTAACTCTTCGGTCACCGCCCAGTGGGAAGTCTGGGTTGGCTGCTTAAGAACTAGATGAGGTATTTGGCTTGAACCCCTTGGGGTGAATTTCTTAGCTTGTGTTTGGGACCCTGTACCCAAACCTATATACTGGAACACTGGAAGCCCTCCTGGCAGGCCAGCAGACTACAGAGCAGGAGGGACCTCTGGCCTTTGAGGGGTCACCAGTTGAGCCCCTAGCAACGCTCCCTCTGAACTCACGCACACTCAGGAGAATGGTGGGCAGGGATGCTTGATCTCCATGCCCCACCCCTCCAGGTGTGTGGAGCTGAATTGGCACACTGTGAGTGCCCCCAGGGTGGTGACACTTCAGCATGATGGGAACGGCCACAGAGGTCAGAATTGGCACAGAGGAGGAAGCTCAGGCCTGTCTGGGAAGATGGGGATGGCATAAGAAGTGGTTCTCAAAGTATGGTCCTGGGACCAGCAGCCTTTCCTAGGAGTCTGCTAGAAAGGCAAATTCTTGGGCCCCATCTCAGACCTGCTGAATCAGAAACATGGGCTGGGGGCCTCCAATCTGTGGTAACAGGCCTCTAGGTGGTTCTGATGATTGTTCTGTGTTGAGAACTGCTGGTGTATGAGAAAGTTCCCAGAGGGAAGTCATTAGGATTGGCCCTTGAAGGATGAATGAGAGTTTGCTGCACAGACAGGAGTGTAAGCATTCCAAGCAGAGAGCTCAGCACCCACAACAATGCTCACCTCTCCCTAGCTCTTACTTTCTCCCTGAATATCTGCTCACCATTCATGGCACTGAGGCTCCTGAAGCCTGTGTTTTGACCTCTCACCTCTGGAGATGGTGGGGTGAGGACCCTCATCGGTTATACTCCCTTGTCCTGCTTCCCTTTAGCCAGCAGCAATGATAGGGGATATTTGGAAAGGCTAGCTGGAGTGAGCTCCATCCCTCCCAGGAAGTTGACGGGTTAGTGTGCAAGCAGATTGGGACCCTGGAATGAAAACCCACCCCTACCTAGCCGGGGTTGAAGAGTGAGTATGATTGGAGTTAGCATCATTCTGAGCTCAAGAACTGGGGTAGAGGGATTGATGGGCAGCCTTAGGGGGTGCATTTATGGCAGAGCAAGGTATTATTTATGGCTAGGTGTGGGTCTGAGATCAGAAATAAGCCACTGTGTAGCCCTCAGGTTGGACAGGCATGGGAGGCCTCAACCCTTTTGGAGAGATCCAAGGTACCCTGTGATTTTCCTTCTTGGCTCTCCTCAAGATTGCAACACCCCCACCACAGAGAAAGCTCTACAAGCTCCAGAACCATGTTAGCCCTGGTCACAGCTCTATGCCCAACATTTGACTATGCGCCTGGCACCCAAGGACCGTTGTTGAATGGTATTTGAATGCCTGGTCCCTTTGGGGGAACTGAGAATCAAACTGTACTTTGCACTGTCCACCTCGTGAAGACAGTTTTTGGTTCAAGTCTTGACATGAAATTGCACAGCAGTTATTCAGCAAAATATTTAATATTGACTGGCTTTACTTTCTTTGTATGTAAAACAAGTTTAACAGTATCCTCCCTGTGGTAGGGATTAGAAATGATATACCCACACATGATAAATATTTTATATACGTTATGTAGACAGTACCTACATGGCACATAGCTCAGAATAGGTGTTTACTGAGTTGTCACCACTATTTTTTTTTTTTTTTAAGAAAGGCAGACTGCCACATGTGGCACCTCATTTGGATGTAGCTGGAGTCTTGGAAGCTTGACCACCCCGCGTTCTCCTAAAAATGGTCCTAAGTACCAGCAGGGGAATGCAGCTACTCGTATACCCTTGACCGAAGAATGGTCCTCCTCTATCAGGGAAGGCTGTTCTCTTCTACCGAGGGTGTGGCTTTGGGAGGGACGCACATGGAGCCATGAGGGAAGAAGGGGACACCCGCCTCGATAGCCAGATCTGTCGAATCAACCCTGGCGATCAGTGGGGTGACAGATGTCACAGCCAGATCGCCCTCACATCCTGTCACCACTAGTTTGATCTCATTCTTATTATTACTCTGGTTTGCACATAATTCAGTGCCAGCCACCTAAATGACCTGCTAACAGATGTTGTGAGTCCAGGCAGAGGATGGATGCTGGTCATGGATTCCCAGCACAGTCTTGGCTGACAGTAAATCAACATCTGGGTGCTGAGTGTCTCTGAGTTCCCAGCATTACCGTAGGGAAAGAGGAAGTTCCAGGAAACAGAGAATGGTTCTCTAACCTCAGGGGGCTTATGGTTTCCCTGGGAGATGTGACTGTGACACGCAACTTATTTAGGGCAGTGTTTGTCAAACAGTAAATCCCAACCCACTGGTGGGTCCTAACTAGAGGGGAGGGAGAGGGAAAGAAGAAGAGGGAGAGAGAGAGGGAGAGAGAGAGAGGGAGTGGGAGAGAGAGAGAGAGAGGTGTTCAGAAACCATCAGGCCCTAACAAAGGCAGCCAGGGTAAATAATATTTGGTGGGGCTTTGATTTCATTTGTGCACACACACCAAAAGCATTTACCATACTGTTTGGAGGCCATGGCTTAAGCCACAAGACTATAAGGGGGAATAAAACAAATCCCTAGTCCTGCAGTGTTGAGTTCAAGGGAGCCCAACTACGAGCAGGCAGATGGCAAAGAAAGCACGGCTTCACTCTGACAAAAGCTGGTATGGGTCATGGCGGTAAGGTGGCCATGTTGTGTGACAGCTCTGAGCTTTGGAACCCTCACCACAAGGCTAGGGCCTGGGCCATGGGCCAGGTGCAGGGATAACAGATGCTTCCTGTGAGCTGAGCTGATGACTCTCCAGAGGGAGAGGAAAGGGAAGGGCTGTTACTGCCCCAAACTCCTGTTCAGGGAAGCTCCCTTCCCACAGGGGCAGGGGTGGGATGGTGGGTGGGAGGAATGCTCCCTGATTCTGGAGATGAGGCCACATAGCCTGGGGGTTCAGCCTTGTGCGCCTCTGGAGGAGAAGAAGCACTCTGCAGGTTCTCTGTGCATTTACTAGGCACAGGCACTGGGCAAAGTTTCTGTGGAAGCTCCCTCATTAATCCTGTAGCAAGCCTGCAAAAGGGAAGTTTCTTCCTTCCTTTAAGTTACAATAATGCAATGCATGCCCAAAGAGGTCAAATAACGTGTCAAAATATTACCGCCAAAAAAGGGCAGAACTTGTGTTCAAACCAAGGATAACTTAGCACCAGAGTGTGTGCCTTCCAAAGTGCTGGGAATGGCTTTTCTCCTGTGCAGTCTGCAACCTGGCTGTGGCCACACACCTGCTGATTCTACATACAGTCCACCGGTGGCCGGCCGTCTGTCCTCCAATCACAGGCAGCAGGGCACACAAGTGCTGCCCCTCATTGAAGGTGACATTCCCAGTTCCACTGGCAGCTTGGGCACAGCCAACAGGACCCAGGACTTTAGCAGCAGCTGGACCCTGGGGGTTCTCAGATTTTGACAGAGAGTAGTGGTCAGGCGCTGGCCCCAGAGACACAGGTCGACCCTCTGTGGCCACCAAGAACCTCCCTTCTTCTGTGTTTTCTGATGAAGCTGTCCAGCAGTTCTCTTCTTCCCTGCAAGGTTTTGTTGTCTTTACACCTCTTGCCCACCTCTACTGGTTTTTCCTTGTGCCTCGGGAGTTATGGAGGAAGAGCCTGTTCCCTGCTTCCCATGTCCACTTGGGCCAGCAAAGGGGCAAGAATTCTGGCCAGGGCAGAGGCCTCTGGGGGATTGAGTTCCTTTGAGTCAAGAGGGAGGATGCCTTTGAATAAGGAGGCCTAAGTATGGTGGGAAGAGGAGGATTATTTCAGCTTTAAAACCATGAAGGAGAATAGGGGTTTGTTGTGGAGTCCTTGGAGAGTTCTTGCCATGACAACCATGTCGATGACAGCAATGCAGAGGTGTCCACACCATTGCCTGACAATTTGCCAAGCTCTGGCCACTCACCCAGAGCATTCTATTTCAAAGAAACTACAGATCTGGTTAGAAAAGTCACTCTCCCACGGCCATGACTTTGGGTGAGTCTGATTTGGGTTCAGGAGGAGGACAGCTATTGGGGGAGGGACAGGAAACTTCGTGGCCATAGAAAGTGCTCTTTAGCTCCAACTGGAGTTTCTTTTTTTTTTTTATTTTTGGTTACCCTGCAGTTGACAAAATTTCTGGTATTTATTAATTATTTATTTATTGATAGTCATTGACTTTTTTTTTT